ATATTAAAAAAAAACAAACCCAAAACCCAAAATACTGGATCCTTGCCTAACATTAAACACAAAGATGGACTCCTGATGGATTCAAGACATATATGTGAAAAATAAAATTATTAAGTTAATAGAAAAAAAAACCCTACAGATGAATACCTAGGGATGAAGAAGGACTTTTACGAAGTTTCAAAGGCACAAATCGTAAGGGAAAAAAATATTTAATTTGATTACATCAAAATTGAGGAATTCTGTTCATTGAATAACACTATAGGAAAACTTATCAAGCAGATGACAGACTGGAAAAAATTAGCTGAAAATATCTAAAAGTAATATAGCAATACAGTCTATAATATACAAGGAGCCATGCCAATCAACAAGAAGAAGACAAGAATCCCAGTGGAAACGGGTAGAACATGTGAAAGGCAATTTCCAGGAGAGAGAATCCAGAAGGCAAGCAAGTGATGTTCACACTTGTTAGTAATCTAAGAAATGTCAATTAAAACAACCATGAAATGGCACTTTATACCTTTTCAACCAGCAAAATGAGGACACAGTAAAGTGCTCATTGGGGATAGGAATCCTGTGAGAAAATAGACATATTATTCCTCCCTCCCTGATAGCCCCACAGATGTGAGGAGGAACCTTCTGGAATTCAGAGCCTAAAGCATCTCAGGGGCTATCCAAGATGTCATAGTTGAGGAAAATGAGGCCCAGAGATCCCATGGGGCCAGTCAGAAACTGTCACCCAGAACTTAGGAGCACAGACAGGGCAAAAACCCAGACTCTCTATTAATGGCTCCTGAGAGCCATCCCTGGGCCCCTCTGTGTGGCCCCCACACCTGGTCGGCCTAGCTCTGATTCTGGGGCCTTCTCCCTACCACTTCCCCTACCCCCTCATTGCCTCAGCAAATCTGCTCTTCTTCTCTGGCCTCAGTAGCCTCTGCTGATGGTTCGGCCTGATGGCCCTGTCCTTTCTGACCTGGTGGAATTGTTCCTATTCCCCTGGATCTATCCCTCCCAACCCACTGAGCTCTGATCCCTATCTCTATCTGGAGCCAGGCTTTTAGGGGAAAGGAGGGGGTGGCTGGAAGTAGGTAAAAGGAAGGCAGGGTGAGAAAGGGGGAGATCAGTAACAGGGATAGGGTTAGAGGAAGGGACAGGGAAAGGAGGTGGGGAAAGGATTCACCTCAATTTAGAATTTCCTCCTCGGGCGCCTGGGTGGCTCAGATGGTTAAGCGTCTGCCTTCGGCTCAGGTCATGATCCCAGGGTCCTGGGATCGAGTCCCACATCGGGCTCCCGGCTCAGTGGGGAGCCTGCTTCTCCCTCTGACCCTCTCCCCTCTCATGCTGTTTCCCTCTCGCTCGCTCTCTAAAAAATAAATAAAATCTTTAAAAAAAAAAAAAGAATTTCCTCCTCATCCTCCCTCCTCAGGGTGATAAGGATACTGTAGGGACAGCAGTGATGGAGGTTTCTGATTGTGTCAGACCAGCCTGGGCCCCAGGACTCTTGGGTGTGTCCTCCATGGATCCAAGATGAGTACCTATTCTCCTCCCCCTGCCCAGCTATTGGGAGTTCCCCCCTAACCACTCATGCCATAGTCCTGTGAAGAAAGCCTTCTTGAGACAACCTCCAGCTCCCATTCATCTCTGTTGACCCTTCATCCCAGTACTGAGTACTCTGAGACCTACCTCCCTAACTCCTCCAGGCTGATCACCCATGGACGGTTTCTCTGCATCTGATCAACACCTCTGCTCCCTGGGCTGACCCCCTGGTAGCACCTTGTCCCACCTCAGCCCTGCTCCTTCTCTCCCTGGATTCCTGCCCTCTCTCACCACCCCCTCAGCTGGGCACCTACCTCACTTCCTCACCTCTCCTCCGTTTCTTGCCTCTGCACTACCTGAAATTCCTATGTATTTTCTCTTGTGCTCAAATGCAAGCCCTTGAACTGAAATGTGTAGGGGGAAAATGAGCAAGATGGCACACAAATCTCACCACCTTTCTTCTCCTCCCACCTCAAATATGTTAAAAGCTAAAAAATGACTCCAAAATAAATTGTTAAATTGAAAATAAGAAAGGTTGTAATCAGCAGACCAGAAACTGAGGAATTCCTAGAAGTTATAAAAAAAAAAAAAATCAGATGCAATCAACATGGCAAAAGCAGATGCCTTGGCAGCCCAAAATGTGAGCAGAAGACAATTATTCCAAAATGCTTTGTCCACAAATAAAATGTGACAAAGGATCCATTATTCTGTTTGCTCTATACATGATGAAATTCATAGTCTAAGAAAAAATAACATTGAACAAACAGGGTAATTGCCTGTGAGTGAAAGATAAATGTTTCAGGGAACAGAAGAAGATATCACATCCATAAAACAAGAAAAGCCCAGAGTCATATTCAGAACACTGAACATCTAGCAAGGCCAGGGCATTGAGCTCTCAGAATCTACGTCCACCACAAACGATCTTAAGGGAAATGCAGCCAACATATTTGCCATAAATATAATGTTAGAGGTAGGTTTTTGGTAAATGTCCCTTATTAAAGCCAGGACATTCTCTTCTATTGCTGCTTTGCTGAGAGTTTTAAATTAAGAATTGGTGGTGGTAGGGGTGGGGGGAGTAGTGCGAATGCTTTTTTCTGCATCAGTTGAAATAATCCCATAATTATCCTTTATTTCGGTGATGTGGTGAATTAGATTGACTAATTTTCAAGTGTTGAACATAGGTCACATTCCTGAGATAAATCCTACTTGGTCATATTGTTTTATGTTATTATATACATTGATGGTTTTGATTTACTTGTGGTTTGTTAGAGATGTTTCTATCTATGTGCATAAGGCACACACATCTGTGCTTTTCTTTTCCTATAATGTCCTTGTCAGGTTTTAATGTCAAGGATATTCTGACTTTACAAATCAAGTTGGGATATGTCTCCTTTTCTACCTTCAACTGTTTCTGTAACATCAGTGTTATTCCATCTTAAGTATTTGGTGCAGCTCACTAAAGAAGTTGAAGAAAATTGAGTCTGGAGTTTTCTTTGTGGAAAGGGTTATTTTACTCTATGTAAATTAGACCTTAGTTTTTTGATGGGAAAATAAATGTAAAGAAAAAATATAGTGCTGTGTTAAATCATCTTGTACATAAAAGCCTGATGTATACACATTTTTAGAGTTTTTGATAAATCCTTCCAAATTTCCCTCAAGAAACATTGAATCCAGTTTATATTTCCTCTCTCAGTGGAATGAGAGTGTTGGGTTTTTATGGCCTTATCGTCACAGTTATCACTGTGATTCCAGGCAATAAGTCCCCACAAGAGGTAAATAGAACTCCCCACTCTTGAAGCCACTTACCACTGGAATGGAGGAAAGGAAGGAAGATGCGTTGGGAGGGCAGAGAGCCTTTGAACGCAGGGATCTGAGCACTGGGAAGGCATATTAAACAGGAAGGGTGAATAAAGAAAGTGTAACAGGTCTTCTGGGAGCTGAGAGATCTGAAGTGACAACTGTAGCTCATTCCTCTACCCCATACAGCTGGCGCCTCGAGTGGTGCATAAGACTGTAAAGACGAACGAATGAATGAATGAACGGAGAATAAGCTAAGAGACTGAAAGTTTGGAATCAGCAAAGATCAAGCTTCCTTGTTTTGGGATTTGCGAGTTCAAGCTCAGTTGAAGACTTTTACTGTGAGCCCTGTCTAAGGAGAAGAAAGTTGGCATAGGTGAGTAGGGGGAGCACACCTAATCGTGTAGGCCCCCCTCGCCCCCAATGAGCAGATGACACAGCTCCTGGACGTCAGAAGTCTGTCCTTCTGATGCTTAGAGCTCCGGACTGAGTGAAGGGTGGGGTCTTGGGCCAAATGCTGGGTCATTTCGGCTGCAGCCGGGCGGCTGTCTGGGCGAGATAGGGTTGAGTGAGAGGAAGTTGAGTGGGCATGCGCGTGCAGCAGGGGGCCAGGCCAGGGGCCGAGGGGCTGGGGGCGTGGCTTCTGGAGAAGC